GATATCTCTCTCACAAACCAGCTGCTGCTTCTTCATCTCTAACCTAAGACCCCAAGCAACAAACCCTACAGACCTGAACGACACACAGAGAGACCCCTCCCAGCCGTTTCCATCATCAACCTTGAACACCCCTCCATTTTCAACCCAAAATGGCGGATCCCTAAGAGGCAGCAACGACCATCTTCTGAAAACAGCCGTTTACACCTGACGAGAACACAAAAAAGAAGACCAGCAGCGCCGCATCTTCTTCTTCTTGAAAAATGGAGACCTCTCCTCCTAACAGCAGCATCTAGAGAACCTAAATTCCTAAGACTCAAGAATGGCACACACCACCAGCTCTCATTTTTTTGATGACCCTCATCTCTCTCGTTGAAGAGATCAAAACAGCCGCACCTCACCCCTCCCCCCTTCTCACTTCTATCGCCACACACACACACACATAGTTAGAGGATGATACAGTGAGAGGGAAACCGGGAAAATCAAATGAAGTAGGATTCGACGAGGTGCAATTTTCCAGCGATATACATGTTTTTTTGGTGACTGCTATACTTGGTTTCTTTGGGATTTCGTCCACACTTGTTAGGAGGAACTGTTGTCTGTTGGTTCTTTATTTTGCTGGCCGGAAAAGTAAATTCAGTCCACTCCTAGTTCGAGTTTTCCGGTGCCGATTCGAAGTCGCCGATTTGAGGTTCCATCCGAGATACTGTCTGATTCGAGTTCCATTGTAGCCACGGTTTCATTTTTGCTCGTGTAACTGCTGAACACTTTGAGAAATTGAAATATCCATTTCAGGTGCATTCTTTCCCCTGTTATCTTTTACATTTTCTCTAATTTATTTGGAAGTTTCAGTGATGATATTTTCTCTTCCACGATGTGTATCTTGAAATGAATTTTTTCTTGGGTTTGTGTAGTTTGATTTCATATGAAGATATGAGCGGGTGGCTTCAAATTTATTTAGTATGAGTTGCTGCTTCCTTGTGAGGGAAATGAGTAATAGTGGGGTTAAGGGATACAAGCTCTCAATCATATTTTCAATCCACCAATCTTTGCCTTATCTTATTTCTTATTGTTCATTAGTTGGATCACTTAATTCTGTGCCTGATGGAAGACTACTAATTTAAATGTGTTATTCTCCTATTTGGACGTATGGCTTTATTCTTGCTGTTTGGTTATCTGTCCGTGTTTGCCATTGTTGCGTGTTTCTTTGGCTGAATTGGATCGTGGGAGTGGAGAATGACCAAGGCTCATTAGTAATCAATCGTGATCATGTTTTAGGACCGGGCTTGGGTCAAATGCTTGAAATAAGAAGTTAAAAAGATATGAGCATGAAATCTCTTTTAGCAAAAGTGCTTCATTATCACAGGCCTTTCACGCGTAATCTCAAAGAAGTTTAGTAAATAACTCATTAACCTCGTAGCTTGCTTTAGGCGCGATAAATAAATCTTTGTGACTATGGGTACGGTTCCCGTGGTATAGTTGCGATACATAAATTCAAATTCGGGTGTTCATTTCATGTGACCCTACCATAATTTTGAATAATAATAATAATAAAAATAAATATGTTGTAAATCGCGGGTGCATTTCATGTGACGCGGTTCGCAATGTGTACCAAAACGACAAGTGTACGACAATCGTAACTTGCTCAAGAAATAATTCAATAAATCCTAAAAGTGGTTAAATAATTAAAAGCGGTTTTAAAGGTTAAAAATGCACAATAGGTTTGAAACTTTTAATTAATCAGATAATTAGGCCAATTATTAATAGTTAAGCGACCGTGCTAAAACTACGGAACCCGGGAATGCCTAACACCTTCTCCCGTGTTAGCAGAATTCCTTACCCGGATTTTTGTGTTTCGCGGATTGTAAAACAGAGTCAAACTTCCTCGATTCAGGATTTTAAACCGGTGACTTGGGACACCATAAATTATCCCAAGTGGCGACTCTGAATTTGATATAAATAATCCCGTTTCGGTTATTGTCACTTTAATTGAAAAAACTTCGCTATACCCTTTTCGGATAGAAAAAGGAGGTGTGACAGCTTCTTAAAATTGCGTGATTTTTTATTTTAATACTTAAACTAAGAATTTTTCCTATTGGACACTTTAACATCAATAAATTTGTACCTATTAAACACAAAACGATAACATGGTAGAATGTGTGAATTACACCTCCCTTGAGCTCTTCATATTTCTTTTCCTTTTTCTTCAAGACATTTTAGCATTACTATCTATTGATTTCTTCTTTGGTAACCACTTTTCCAATGGATCTCAACAGTTGCTCTTCAATTAAATGCTGTTACAAAAATCAAAACAAGAAAATTAGTGGTGCGAAGCAAAATCTGAGAGGAGGTATCTGAAATTATTCCGATTTTTATAATTGTCTAATTTTTTTCCTCTAGTTGTCTAACACTAGCCCAAAACAAAAATATAAAATTTTAACTGTGATTTTAATAAACGTTTTTTACATCATATTTGACATGGTATTAAATCTATTATTTTAACTTTTTTTTTTCTTTAAGAGAAGAATTTGTGAAGTAAATATTTCATGAATTGAATAAAATCATGGTATTCGGAGACCTTTTTATTTTTCCCTTTCCTCATATTTTAATTTATTCTAAGTCAGCTCAAGTTTATTTTAAAAAATAATTTAGTTTAATTTTATTTTAGTAGAATTGGTTGCTTTAGCAAGGTCGTAGGAGAAGCTTCCAAGTTAAGCAAATCGTGAAACAGGAGGAGAAAACTTTTTAGGCTGCTGCTAATGTCAAGTAATTGGACCAAAACATCTTTCACACCTAAAGTTAACAAAATCAATTTAAACTTTTTAGCCTTTTCCATATGGAATTAAATATGGGGCTATATTGCCTAAAAGCATATTAAGTTGATCATATTTCTTTTGTTTACTACATACTTCCCTTGGCGTGTCAATAATGTAATAATCAATATTAAAATATATACCCTGCACTTGTGCTGCTGGGACAACATTATTTTAGTTCTGTTTCTCATTAATGGCATATTATTTATATTTTGTGGTACATACTTTTTAATGTTGAACATGACGATATTAACATTATTTCATTGGGATTAATTATTAATACTACAACACGAGCACCCCGCCAAAAAATTACATGTGTGTTTGGCAAAAAATATAAAATAGTTATGGTATACTTCCTCCGGTCTATTTTAATTGATTTTTTGCCTTTTTGTGATGGTCCGCAATATTATTTTTATCAGACTGATGGACATATATCAATCACAACAATAATACAAAAACAAATGAGTCTATAAGAAGATTCATATACATACTATGTTAGTGTTACCGAAATTGAGGCTAAGATCTTGAGTCTAAAGTTTAGTAGAAGTTTAGAAGTTTGTACATTTACAAGAATATAGAATTATTTTCCACGAAAGACTTGATATCAAAACCTTTATATTCGCAATATCATATTATAACTGCTGACTAACATTTTCAAGCAACACTTTTTACTTTTATACATTATATTTTAATTGAAGTTATAAGAGTAAAACTTAGGAATTTGTCTTGTCATTTGAACTAACTACCATTAGCACTAGTAGAAAACTAACCCTAATCACAAGAAATTGTCATTGACCTTGACCTGATGACATGATTATTTCTTCAATTTTTGTAGAATGTGTCTAATCACAATTTTTAATTAAGAATTATTAATCTATTAAATTGTCCCTCTCGTTGACGTGTTAGGCACTTTAATTTGATTTTAAATACCCAACAAAGACCTTATCAGCTCAGCTAAGCAAGATTAGACTCTAGTCTCATGAAAATTAGTATCTTCAAGATTTGGTGTCACTTTTTGACAATTGCTTGGCCCCTCATTATTATTCTTTTATTTTTGAGGGTCTATTATTTGGTGAGTTCGAGGCACATGTGTCAAAATATTTTGTAATTTTTGAAAAAAAGAGATTTTCCCTCCTTATAAAAAAAATAAAAGTAAAGAAATGAAAAGGTTACATCATCTAGCTTTTGGTTTTAACTTGACATTTATTAGCTTTTTCAAGTAAAACTTAAATATTAAAAAAATACTAAAGCACGGTAAATTATTAAACAATATATGTGTGAGAATAATGTAGTAAAGATTATACTACTCCTCAAACAAAAACTGTCATATAAAATAAATTAGAGAGTAGCATAAATTAGATTGTCATATGTACAACATTTTTTAAAAGTTCTTTTGAATAATTGTAGTTAGTGTAGAAAGAGATTATGTATGAATAATTGTATTTTTTTTTTTTTTTGAATATTTCTGAGCGTTTTGTTAAGTGGAAGACGAACTTTTCTTAGATAAACACCCTCAAACATATCTCCAAAAGAAAATCTCGAATAATCTTTTCGCAAAATTATTTAAACATGAACTTCTTTTGCATTTCAAAAATGTTCCACAGATAAAGAAATAGACACATGCCAAAGTCTGACATTGAAAATTAAATAAACCGACTTATTTGTTTACCTACCCACAAATAATTGAGCTAATCACGGCTAGTTTAATTTGCAAAAGGAAGGCCCTAAAAACCTTAATATTTAAAATGAATTGACCCAAAGACAACGCGCGTACATATTCAATAGTTCGAATAAATTGACAATTAAGTAGCTTTTCTTTTTCACGGACAATTAAGTAGCTAAGCAAAAGAAAAAGGGAAAATAAAGTCCATTTATTGGTAATGAGGATTCAAGATTCTAGTAAAAATTCATTATGTTGAAAAATAATTTTCAGAAGTTGAAGTTGTATTTGAACATGCATTTTATTTATAAAGAAAAAGTTGGAAGTTTTGTAAATGAAAGAAAAAACTTCACCAAAAAAATTACTCTAAACAATTTTGGGGAATACCGATTATATATTTCATGAACAAATAATATTTTTTAAATTCTTTTTAAAAAAAAAGTAATCAAAATCTATGGCCAAACGAGAGCCTAATGTATTGTCATGCATGACACACGAGCATACAAATTACGTTGTCACACGTTTTCAAATTAAGAAGGCAGGAAGATTGAAATTTCAATACATTAAAATCAACAAGAAAAAAATTCTAGCTGGAATCCAAAAATTCAGCTTTATTGGTACAACAAAAATGTCAAATCCGTATATAAAGATAACAAAAAAAAAAAAAAAAAAACAAGTAAAAGAATTACATAAAATCAATACTATACTATTTAATTCAACAACCTAGCAAAGGCAAGTGACAAGAAAGTGACAGGCAAAGCTGCAAGAACCAAAGATGGAGCTGAGGCACTTGGTGGTGGTGGTGAAGTGACCGGAGAATCGCCCGAGGGGACGGATGGGACGGTGGAGCCAGATGGTGTGGCAGCGATGGAAGGCGTGGGGGCGGCAGCGCTGGTGCTGGTGACGTTGATGGCTAGCTTTTGACCTAATGAGCAGTGGCTAGGGAAAGTGCACATGTAGTAATTTTCACCAGAATTTGTAAGTGTGATCCTAGCAGGACCAGTGCTAATTGTGTTGATAGGAGAAGTTGTGTTGCATGAGTCATAAGCTGCCTTATTAACCATTGCAACATTGTGCCTCCCATTGACAAAATTGAAAACTGCATTGAAAAATATAAGAAAGGTTAAAATGTCAGATCAACAACTATAAATATAGCAATAGATATTTTTATAAAGCAATACAGTTTATTGCCTAACGAACATAAGTAACTATAGTTTGCTTAATTATCACTCATAACTAGTGTTCAATTATTACCATTTTTTATCACTTTTATTCAATTTGCTCTAAATGATTGTATCATTACATACAATATCCTGAAATACAGTGATACATACAGTTACTGTATCGCTGTATGTGACTCCATACATTATATACACCATATTTACCATTGAGATTTTGCTACAAAATACAATTGTAGCTACAAATTGTAATTATTTCAAAGTGTATTTATATATGGTAAATACAGTGTATAAGTTAGTTACACCATATAATTTTCATTGAAATGAGACTATTTCAAGATGAAGTGTGATACAAAATATTACTCCTATTTGAATTATAAGCACTATTGGCACCTCAAAGGCTAGTAGGTTTTAATGTACGACAGTAAGTATGATCAGGTCATTTATAAGGTAAATATAGATAAATATTATGATACGTATTAATTGATAACCTGATAAAAAATGGTAAACGAGTTCGGGATAATTTTTAGTGCTTACCAAGAGTATCTCCAACTTTGAAGGATTTGCCATTAGCCCAAGTTTGATAAGCATTTGGGCCACCAGTAGTAGGAACATTCCAGCCCATGTTGCCTCCAACAATAAAAGTTTGGGCTGCAACTGAAGGTGCAGGTGCCAATGCCGGGGTGGCTGTAACCGATGGTGCGGGAGCTGTTGATGGGCTCACTGAAGGAGCGGTCACTGGAGCGACGGTGGGAGGAATGACGGGCCTGGCGGCAGCTGGCTGAGGAGCCGGAGAGGCGGAGCCGGAGACATTGATAGCCAATTTCTGGCCCAATGTACAATGGCTTGGTAAGGTACAAAGGTAGTAATGTGATCCAGCAGATCTCAATGTAATATTTGTTGGCCCATTAGTGGATATAGAAATTGGGTTTGCGGTATTGCATGAATCAAAATTTGCCTTTGACACCTCAGCCACACTATGCAATCCGGTTGTAAAGTTAAAAACTGCATAAAGAAGTAAAAAGAAAGATTCCAAATAAATTTATTAGTTAAAACCATGAAAAATCAAAAATTTAAAAGTGTTCTAATTCACCGTGATCAAAGCTTACATACTGGGGCGGAGCTAGAGTGTGAGATACGGGTTCGGACGAACCCAACTTTTGTTTAAATCATGTATTTACCTTAAAAATTCCTTGAATATATATAAATTATTAATTTAGAATCCAGTAACTTAATGTATTACAATTCCGAACCCATAAGATTCAAAATTCTGGCTCCGCCTCTATTACATAGACGCAAAGATAAATTTAGAGCGAATTTTATGATTTTCGACTCAGGATAATGGAAACATATTCAGAAAAAAAAAAAAAAAAAAAGACATGTTACTAATACATATAATATGAGACTCATTCTAAATTGTGAATTCCTGCTAATTAGACGTCTATCAGCCCAAATGAATTTTTAGGTGGTAATTACGGAGTAGTATTATTTTAAATCCTATATTGTTCTTTTCTAGCAAATAATTAAATCTTGGTGTAGCTACATGTTATAAAATTATTTAACTTTATATATAATATATAAATAAAAGTCGAATGGAATGTAGCGTGTCATGATTTTGTACGTATTTGCCACTAGATATGGACACGAGGGGAGAAAATAATTGACCAAAAAGCAATACAAGTGGGAAGGAATCTAGGTAATAAAAAAGCAAAAAGTGTATTACCCATTTCCATTTGTTAGAGTAAACTAAACATAATTAACAAAAAAGTAACATAAGTGGAAGAAAGATTAATCTAGAGCAAAGAAAGGACAAATTAGTTGTAATAATTTAATTACTAACCAAGAATGTCGCCGACGGCGAAGGTTTTCCGGGAAGCCCAGGTGGTATAAGCGGCGGCGCCACCGTTAGGAACGCTCCAAGCCAAAGCATCACCAACTACATGAGTTTGTTGTGCCATTGAAATATGTAATAAAGCAGCTGCAAATATTGCAAAAGTAGCCAAATTCAGCTTTCTGGCCATTTTTGCACTGTATGTTCTTCAAGTCGAAGTCGCCCCTGTTAGCTTTGTATGTTTTTTGATAGAGAAAAGGAAAGAGGTTGAGTTGAGGTATTGGGGTGGCAATGAGGTTTCTATTTATAGAGGTAACACAACATAGGAGAGAGGTTGTTCTTTCCTTCTTTTCATTATATTTAAGTAGTAATTTATTTTTCTTTCCTTTTCCATTTGGATTTGGATGACTTGTTCCAATTTGGAATGAAATAAATTAGATTAAATGAGGGGAATAAATTTAGAAAACTCGTGCAACCCGCTAATTATACAAGTCTGAAGTTCCACGAATTCAGAATATAAATTTGATCGCTTTAATTTTTAAGCTTCTACCTTCGAATTTTGGGTCGGAGCTAGAACCATGGGCCGAACCCAATAATTTTTGCTCAAACAATATATTTATGTTAAAAAAAATTATTAAACATGCATAAATATTAAAAATTAAACGTTTATTAGCTATAAAGCCCAAAACCTATAAGTTGAAATTCAGGTTACGTCTCTGTTTGAACTCACTATATCTTTGAGATTATGAGTTTATAATTTAATAATTTTTGAAGTTTTAGTAATTTTAAACATATATACCTACATTTGGTGTGGAGATCAAGGATTATTAGAGTTGTAGGATGACAGACAATTTAGAGTTTGTCTAGTCTTCTCAGTAGTATTAGTATTAGTCTTCTATTTTCCTATTCCTAGCCCCTTGTTATTTCACGTTGTGTCATTATTTCCTGCGAGATTGACTCTATTCTTATAGTGTCGTATTCTTAGATCTCCGTTATTGCACGTATCTCTATTTACACTTATGTCTAATTACCTTATTGTTGCTACTGTGTTTGTTTATTGCTTCATTTTACTTCTCTCGAGCCGAGGGTCTTTCGGAAACAGCCTCTCTACTATCATAAGGTAGGGGTAAGGTCTGCATACACTTTACCCTCCTCAGACCCCACGTATGAGATTTCACTAGTTTTGTTGTTATTGTTGTTGTATATACCTATATCTGGTGTCGAAAATATTGAACTTAATTGGAATTGAATATATTATGAGGCGACGAATATAGACAAAAAGATGAAATAACATCTAGTAAATGTGTTTATCAATCAGCTCAGTTCGATTATTTTATTTTATATTTCTATCGAATTATGAATAACCTTACATTTGTAAAGTCTTAAGACTAGAATTACAATTTCTATTTCGATTAAAGTAATTTCTTGACATTTGAATTTGGCTATCTTTTGCCAATTAATAGATGACACGTGCAAACAAGGTGACTATTATAAAGTTTTTTAGGTCAAGATGTTGACCTGTTAGATGTGAAATGAGCAATGGGTGGGCCAGTGGAAAAGTCGTGTGTTCTGGAAATGGATCCAATGGAGTGGAAATGGCTGCCGCCGTGCCGCGTTACGCTGTGGAAGCTCACCCACCCCCTTTGGACTTTTCTACACCAAAAAATTATTGACTTGTCTTTCTACTGGTTTTTGGATCTTTTCCTTTTCTAACTGTTTTGGGTAAAAATAGCATGGTTTAGCCAGTTTTCGGACTGATCATTCAAAAATAGCCAGCATTTACCAAGTTAATAAAAAATAGCCACTATTTTACTGCAACAAAGATTGGTCCAGCATAATATACTGGAGTTCGGTGCACCTGTGTATGAACTTCTAGCATATTATGCTGAACCGGTATACTTTGCTGGCTCCAGTATAATATACTGGAGACTGGAGCACCGGTGCTCCAAACTCCAGTATATTATGCTAGACTGATATATTATACTGGAACTCCAGTATATTAGACTGGAGTTCCAGTATAATATAGTGGAACTCCAGTATATTATGCTGGAGTATTTTTCCGGATTTTGAATAGTGTTTTCGTTCAGATTTATCTTTACATGAAAAGTTGCTAAATTTCGATTACTTTTGAAACTGGGCTATTTATGAAAAAATGTTTCAAATTGTTGATGTACTATTTGAAATTACTCAATTTTATCCCTGTTATAATTTTTGGTCAATTCTTATCCTTGTCATTAGTAATTCGTTTCATATTTTTTTTTTGTCACTAGCAAATTGTTGCATATTTCTTCTTGTCATTTACGGAGTTCCAATGCGAAATGTGTGGATTTCACGTGTTCAAATTCTTGAGAAAAAGATCTAAATTTAGTTCAACTTTGATTCTAGCTTAAAGAAGCTCCTTTAGGAGTCACGGGCAAAAAAATTTCTAACAACAATGGTTAAAGTAGACCAAAAGTCTTAGCGGATGAAAAGGTTGCTCAATTTCGGATAGTACATTGATGATTTGACCAGTTTTCCTTTTTTTTTCTTTCTAATACACATTGGGAGATCTAGAAAAATAGAAGAAAAAGTAAAACGATAAAAATTGAACTCAAATGCGCGGGAGAGTCTTACTAATGATTGTAAGTCTTGGTGGATTTATCTTTTTGTTTCGTAAAATTATATTTAATCGTATACTCTGATTTGACAAGAAGATCCAACATATGAGGTAATATATGAATATTGACCTAATCTTTCTACCTTTTACCAAGATTAACTTTTTTTAATTATGAGTTTACGAGGTACCACAGTCAATTGACTTTCTCATGATTGTTGAGTTCTGAAATGAAGTAGATTGCCTAAAGGGGGAGTTGGAATGGATTTTATACTAAAAACCACTTATTAGAAGTTAGGTTAGGTTACCTGCATAGTGCTAATGAAGTGGCTCTCCTATCAGCAACTTCACTAGCCAAACCTTTATCCTGGTTCTAGCACTTATTGGCCTAAACTAAGTGGCTGTCAGCAGCAACATATTAATTTTATAAAAGGAAAAAAAGAAAAAGATAAAGAGACTAGCAAGAAGCATGTATTTATAGCACAATTATCTTTTTTTTTTTCATAAGTATCTTTTTGGGGTCTGACTAATTCGAATTCATGTTAAAAAATTATTTGAGGGGTAAACTTTGGAAAAGGCGAATCTTGTCAGTTTAACAATAATAGCACAACTATTAGTATTATTATGCGCAAAGAGAAAATGAATACTATAAGTTTGAATCGGATAAATGTCGATCATATACAACACTAACACATATTAAGTACGTTTGTTTTTAAAGTCTGAGTCTTAATTATTCAGATCTTAATCATTAAGTGTGTGTGTGTTTTTTTTACTTTACAACCACTTAATGTGTCTGAATAGGTCTGTATGATTAATATCTATAACAGAGACTTAATTTCATTTAGATGCTATCACATATTCATTATTAACTGCCGCCACCGCCAACCATTATCAACTACCACCATGCCAGCACCACCACCATACTCAACCACCACCCTACTGATGATAGGCTATAATTGCATATTTTAGTCGCTTATTACACTCGAATTTACTGCACTTTAATTGAGTTTGCGCTTTAATCGCTAGTGTTTTGCACTAATTGTGTGCTTTATGCCTTGTAGGTGTGATTCCGAGCTATATAGATGTTATGGAATGAATTTAAGTGATTTGAAGCTTTGAAGTCTGAGTAAAAGCTCAAGGAATTAAGCCGGGATCGTGTTCGGGGGTCAAATTTGATAATTAAGCAAGAACGAAGACTTGAGGAGGCATATTGTGCACTGTCTAGTAAAATAGACATAACTTTTTCTCAGAATCCCATTTGGGCTCCACAATATATGGTTGGAAAGCTAACTCAAAGGGCTACAACTTTCATGTTTTACGTTTTTCCAAATTCCAAACGGAACAGGGTGAAAAACCGCGGTTTCACCGCGACCGCGGTAGAAGATGGTCGCGGACAACTGAAGAATCAGAGGGCATGTTTGGCCGCGGTTCCACCGCGACCGCGGCAAAACCGCGGCAGGAGGCGGAAATTTCAGGGACTTATGTGCAAAATACGATTTTAAGCCCTAAACCCTATATTAAACCAAGGAAGCCGGCCAAAAAAGAGAAGGGGACATATTTTGGACACAAATTAGACCTAAGGAGGAGGAGACACTATTTTAGGGTTAGACAACACCCTTGGAGGCAAGAACACATTGGGAGCAAGGCGGAGAATTCTTCTACGAGTTTTTTTCCTCCTCTTCCTATTTTTCATTGTTGGTTATGACTTTTAGTACTGTAGCTTTACATACTATTATGAATAGTTAATTTGTTATCTAGAGTTTTGATAGAACCTTTTGTAGGATAACTTCTTATTATGTTTTTATATAATTGAGCCATAGCTTTTCTCTATTTGTTCAACTACGTTTATATTCTGGTTGATTGAAGAGCTCTCAATTAGCTGTGCCTATTTAGTATGCATAACTCGGGAGATAGTGCATATTTAGGTAATTGTTGAACAACACCACTCCCAGAGTATATGAGGGATCAATAACCGAGGGTTTAAAGGTAGGGATTAGGGATAACGAAGCCTTGGGTGCGATCTAAAGTGAGCTGTATTAAAAGCCAGCTAGCGTATCTCGGGAGAGTGCGTCTAGTAAATTGTCGTAATTACTCGGGAGAGATTTACGGTAATAAGAGTGCTCATGATCGGTAGAGAATACTTAGGCGAAATTATAGAAGACATAGCGGGAAGGATTCCGACAATTGGGGAAATCATAACTCTAGACCTCCTTAATCTTTTCTCTAACCCTCAGTATCGTTAGTTGTTAATTTACTATTTTAATTTGTTAGTTAAGTAGTTAAACACAAGAATCTTAATATCTATAAGTTAGGAATTGTTCAAGCTTGTCTTCTTGGTGATAGTGAACAGCTGTAGCTAAACCTTAGTTCTCTGTGGGATTCGACTCCGGACTTGTAAACCGAATTATATTTGCAACGACCGCATTGTCCTTTTTATAAGGCATAGTTGGGCGTGATCAAATTTTGGCGCCGTTGCCGGGGAACTAACGGTATAGTTATAGGTGTACATATTGCTAGGTTTCAAGTTTGAACTTTTATTTTATTATTTGATTTTTATTTTAGTTTTATTTGTTTATTTGAGAAACATGACATCATGGAATTATGAGAATTTTGTTGTTGGTAATTCTACTTTTGATCCTCCTTATGCATATTGTGAAGGAAACCACCCAGGGCAAAATTATCAAAATATTCCTGAGAGCGAGTTTTG